GGCAATTCTTATAAGAGTGCCCCCCCCCCCTCCCAGTAGCTCAAAAAAATAGAAAGGTGATGTTCTGATTTTGTAATTACTAGTGTTAGTGTTTTTACAATGAAAGAGTAGCTCATTATTTCCCCTATTTTAGGTTTCTAACACTCCTAGTTATAATAGTAAATGAACGATAATGTACAGTTGCTTTTATATGCACCATCAGAAGTGTTTGAAAGAACGAAATTCAAATCCTTCATCTTTAGGTTTTCTGATAGACTCTTCAGTAGCTACAATGTATATTTAAACTGTATGACCGCATTCTTGACTTACTATTCACACTGATTAACTTTCATCAACGGTGACAATTTATTTACAGGTTATTAATGATATCAGCAAATGGTTAATCTTCACCATGGGATTGTAAAAAAAAACTGTAAGCAGAAGAAACATCTGAACCAAGACAGACTACTCTTTTATTAAAAAACAAAGCAGGTTACACGACATTAAGTCGCAAGTTAACAATTTGTATTACAATATAACATATGTATCAGTGATCGATTAATTTTCAATGTACAGACTGAAGTTATGTATACCTCTGCCAAAAATAAACATTTTAGTCACATTTGTAAGAACTATTAATTTTATAATTGTCAGAAAATCGTCATACACATATGAAATACACAACTGATATACAAACATCCACTTGACAGATATTAGTAATTCTAAACCTATATGCGCATTAATTACGCAAAACATACCACAAGTAATTCATTACAACCTGATTACTTATTTTATAAGTGATACTGCAATACAACAAATCAAATATGACTACAACACAACTAATACAATAATCCATATTATGAACCACTATCATGGTTCATAATAGGCATCGCAAAGAAATTGCACAAAACCCCACTGCAACGTTCGGGCAAAAAGCACCTTAAACACTACAGATTCAGTTTAAACAACACTTTAAAACCTTTAATATTGACTGCTAAGATTGTACACATATAAAAATGCACAAAGAAGTACGCAATGTTGGACAAGGAAAAGAAAATCTGCTTAAACCGGCCTGTTTGTAATTCTTCTTATCCTTTTGCCAGCCTACAACAAAAATGTTGTGGTATAACGTTGCACCTAAAACATTGTAGAATACTAAATAAGGTACAGCGAAGGTCGCAGGGGTATTGAAAAGTCGATTTGTTTCTACTACATTTTACATAAGCTAAAAAAACATAATTCTAGTGTAAACGATGTTACCATTACACCTTGAAGTTAGATTTCTTACAAATACCTGGTGTTCCTTTAAAAGGCTTAAGTACAGGGTGATACAAGAATTATCAGCTAATAATAGATGAGCATTAGATGACTGTACCATGTAGATACTCAATGGTTTGTACATTATACAATCGATGTTTTGAGGAAGCCAACCTCTATATTATGTATGAAGTGAAGGAGTAAAAAAAATCAATACATATAATATTAAATTTTATTAGACACACTCGTAGAATAATTACTTTAAAAAGACACAAAGGTTTATTTAAAGCGATGTTTTAGACGTATATGTTATATTTGAAAAGGCTGTTTTTCTACTGGTAAAATTTTATACGTGCTTACTGGGGGTTGTGTCTTAGTCTAGGCATATACTTGCCCATTGCTATGCATACATTATATATAGAGAAGTTAGTTTAAAAAAAAATTATAAATGCTCATACAAATCTCCAGCTACATCTTAACATTATACATTTCGAATTAATGTGATCAAATAGTCAATAGCTACAGTAAATCATCATGAACTGCATCAGCTAGCTACTAGCTATGTTTATTATCATTACACTGTATAAAGTTAGGTGCCATATCAAGTAATCCTTTGCCCATAATTGAGCATAAGAAAAAACAACCAACAAACAAGATAAATAAAACATTTGGAATTTAAAAACCTGCAAATAGGAATTGTAAAAAAGTAAGGACACAAGGTTGTAGACATTATTTACTCAAACTACAAATCCTTATTTTGACTCCACCAAATGTAATTCTAGGCAACAGCATGGAGCCAAAAATAGGGGTTTGTAGTTTAAGTATCTTCAGCCTTGTTTCCTTTTTTATGATCCCTATTCACAGATTTTTTAATTCCAAATTCTTTATTTATCTTCAATTAACTACATCACATTTTACACAACAAACTATATATAACTACAACACAACAAACCATACACGACACATGCACTTGGAGTACATAAAACAAAACAAGAGTAAATCAATGATAGTTTCTGTATAAGGGACAGCTCTATCATCCTGTATAGACACCTATATAACCTTTGAATATCTGTAACTGAGTAAGATATTATGGACACACAACTCCAATAAACTTGGTACATTATAAACAGTACACTAATGTTTTCTGTTATTTGGATCTATGCTAAATCAATAAATTTGATGAAATGTTTTTGTGAATTTGTTGTAGTAGTGAATTGGAAAAAACAATTTTATGAAACCTAAATATTTGCAGTGAAACAAATAATATAAATGCTATAAAACAGGACTTCTAACCAATCAAACTAAAATAACTAGTTACATACACATCTGTATGGAATATAATTGATCTTATATGTATGTATGTACATGTGTATATATAAGTGCGTACATTCATACATACATACACATAAAACCATGAATATTTTCAAAATTTATGATAACTACAGCTTAAAAAGACATTAATAACAGTGGACAACAAAAAATTTGCTAGTGGAGAAAACTCAAGTGAATTGAGGTAATTTGATGATGTTGATTTCAAATATGTGGTCAGAATTTGTTCATCACCTCTACACTTTGAGTTATTGTAGTATCTCAATATTTTATCAACACAATGTAAAATACCATGCAATCAACTCAGTACAATAGATTTATGCTGTGAAATTAAGTTTACTTGAACAGTTTAATGGGTAAAAGGCGTACATTTTTGATAACTTCAAACATTGACTGAACTGTATTGGTGTAAAATTCCAAATATATTGTTCATATATGCTATCTGTTCTCGATATAATTGTAGTGAATTGCACCACTTTTGCTTCATTCCCACGTTCACCTGCTGTGCCTGGGAATCACATAACCCTCACATGCTCAGTTTGCTAGAACATTAAAGAAGTCCCTTGACTGAGCATAAAAGGGGTGGAATCAGATGCCTATCTCTCACTCAGTTGGTCACTTTGCCACACAGTCAAAACAAAGTCTGATCTTCTTCCTTGCATCATATCGACGATTTAATTAAATTCTACAAAACTCTGTTTTTAAAATCTTTTGTAAACATCAATTCTTTTATATTTTTTAGAAAATCATTTGAAATACTAGCTGCCTCCAGTTCAATAAAGTCCAAAAATCACCAAAACAGTTTCTGCTACATTTGTGGAAAATATATTACAGTTTCATGAAGGAAAAACATCACACGCAAGTTAAAAGTAGCTTACTTCCACTATTTTGGGTGTAAAATTGGTGACTAAGAAAAACATTGGGCTCCATATGTGTGTTGTACAATTTGCACATCTGGCTTGACACAGTGGCGGAATAAGAAGAGAGCAAGTATGCCATTTGCAGTTCCCATGATGTGGCATGAGCCGAAAGATCATGTAAATGACTGTTATTTTTGCATGACTAATGTTTCTGGATATTCAGGCAAAATTAAACAATACAGTAAATATCCAGATATTGCATCTGCACTGAAACCAGTACCTCATAAGGATGGTCTTCCAGTACCACATTCACCAGCGATTTGGGAAACAGAAGAATTATCCTGCAAAGTAATTCTATTCCTGTGGCACCTCAACATAACTGCCTTATCTGAATACACAAGAGTTAAATGATCCGATTCATGACTTGTCTCTATCAAAGCAGTATGGAAAGCTTCTATTATAACTACAAGTGATCAGTAATTTTCAACATGGTTTTTAGAATCAGCATCATCAAATTATTCAGAAACAGTTGTATGTTTTCTAGTAGAATAGAAAACTTTGTTTTTGTTGCCCAATGTAATCCCAAAGTATCATAATTCCTTAGAGAATTACTAGTTAAGCACCCAGTTATGGATTTTCAGCTTTTAGTGTATTTATCAACCAGTTAAAAATACATTTATGATAAAATGTTTTTTAATCTCAGTATTTGTAATTCAATAATGACAGTATATGCTTCAAGAATAAACTTTTATGTTTAAAAAATTTAAATGCTCAATTCTGAAACGCATTGAATTCAGAAATTATTATAATTAAGCTATCATGTTTTAACTGCATAATAAAACCATTTATATATATACTTATGATAATATATGTATCTTTTAATTGAAATACACATTTTGAATTTTATTTAATGCAGCACCAAATAAGTTCATTCAGCACCAGGCTAAGAATACAAATTTTCAAATGTATCAAAGTTTATATACATGAGATAAAATGTACTTTAATATCATATAAAAATAATTGATTGTCTTCTCATTATTAATTTTAGCTAATAAATCATTGATATATTAATTTTATACTCTTACAAAATTTTGAATCAACCCACTAAGTGTTTGAAATGATTTTTTTTTTTATGAAGCCAGTGGAAATTATACGAAGTTTTAAACTTTTAGCAAATAATTTTTTCTCCATAAAAAAAAAGGAAAAGTTTGCCTAAAGAGTGCAAAAACTTGATAGCCATCAAGTATTTAAAGATTTAGCACTTCTGTTTTGTTAACCTGATCCATATATTAACACTACCATAGCCATAGCTATGTTGAGTCATGATGGTTCAACTCAACAAGTCAAATACTGGATTAATTTTCATGAGGCACTGTCCAAAGTTAACTCTTACTTCTTAAAAGGTCCGAGTACCCCTGGAACTTTTTATTTTGTGGTGCTATATTTATCTGTCTTGATGAGATCTCACAGATATTTCAATATAATTAACATCACAATAAAACTGATGACAGTTCAGAGTAACTATTTAAGAGGTAAAACTTTATACCTAAAAGATATATATATGTATAATAGGAACTTGAAGACTTTCAGATAATGACACTAAACATATAACCCGAAGACACTTCATTAGCTTCACCGAAACAATAATGGAGATTGCATATTATTATTAAAACAGCTAAATTAATTTCTGCTACTTTTTATTTTACTACATTTTATATTTCGTTCAATTGCAGTAAATTATCATTTATAAGAATACAGAATTAAATTCAAAATGAATACTCTAAAATGTACAAAAACACTACTACACAAAGCTGTGCTTCAAGTTTTAAATTTATTCTTTTATTCAAGTTAAAAATAATTATTACATTACATTCGTTGCTCAAAAAAACTACCAGAATTTTTAATTTTATGAATACTTCTGTATACAAAAATTTTGATGTGGTCTCAACTATAAATCAAAATGTTTTCTCTAATTTTTCAATTTAGTTCGTAAATAACATTTTAATTTTAAACCTCTTTAAGGTAGTAAGTAATTAAATACTTAGTTACTCTGTATTACTGAATATTTTTTTATAAGCTGCACTGATAGATAAAAGATTATTTTTTATGTTGCCAATGGTACATTCTGTGACAGATGAAAAGAATTTGATGTGATTTATACAATGATAGGTTTAACATGGGTTAATAATCACTTTTTGTGTAGTAGATTTTGCAGTCAATCTCATAACAATTGGACAATATATGCCCTATCTTTACTCAGTAAATCTTGCTTCATATGGTGACAGGTTTTCTGTTGAATGTTGAGTAAGCTCATGAAATGATTTTGAGGTACCTGCAAATAATAAAAATAGAATTACAATCATATAAAACACTAAAAAGAAGCATTTGTAATGGAACCCTAAATCTTTACAAACTATCTGAGGTCTGACATGGGTAACACGATTGACATGTATTTGTAATGGAACCCTAAATCTTTACATACTATCTGAACATGTCAATCGTATTACCCATGTCAGACCTCAGATAGTTTGTAAAGATTTAGGGTTCCATTACAAATACATGTCAATCGTATTACCCATGTCAGACCTCAGATAGTATGTAAAGATTTAGGGTTCCATTACAAATACATGTCAATTGTGTTACCCATGGCATTACAACTTGCATCTTTGCTGACAACAGTCAATCAGTACAAAAAAAAAAAATATTTTTTAAGATGTGATCAATCTTCTGAAAGATATTATGTATAAACACTTTTTCAGTTTATACATCTTGTAAATGATAGTCATTTTAGAAAATCCTACTAAATAAATCTGACTGATGTCTATTTATGGTCACTATAGAATAGCGTATACAAAAATAAAGTGTCTGTAATCACTTCATCATTAATAAAAACTATTTACAATGCATAAAAAATCCCCAATCACTATGTGGAACATACTGAGCATTGAACTACATGAATATGCCAACAAGCATACATAGTAAGACACCACTTTGAAATTGGTTTCATGAACAAAGGCTATTGCTATTACTGAAAATGTTTTGACCACCTCCCCACAAAGTTATTAAACCACTATTATGCAAATCACTAAAGACTATTAAAGTTAGCAGTGCACTATTTGTTGAAAAGCCAAGATTTGATTTATCACATGTCTAATTAAGTGGTGCAACTTTTCCCTTCCAAAACTGTGTTATTGGCTAAATATTTACACAAATATAAAAAGTGGAAAGATATTTGCCTTCTAACAGTCCTGTACACAAACTTTGTTCATGTTTCTGGAATGACAACAGCGATTCAGTTAAGGATCCTTCTGTTAGTAAAGGACTACTGGCTTCCACTTCTTTTCCAATTACAGAATAGGGTGATGTATTTCGTATTGATTTCATTTCCAAAACGTTTGGAGGTACAGATGATCTTTCCCTATGGGAATTACAAGGAGCAGAAGTGAAGTGATCCTCTGCCACACTGTCCTGAGTAATGTCAAAATCTTTTTCACTTGTTTGGGTCCTGTGGAGGTCATTGTCTTGTCTTCCACATGTAATGGTACTCAGATCTGAACCTAAAAGTGTTAAATCTGGTTCTTCTATAATACCTTTTTCCTGAAAAACAACAACAACAAATTATGTGTATATATTCTTAAGTACAAATTCTTCCAATGAGTTACTGTTCTTAAAACTAGTTAAAATCGACTAGGGAATGATTAAATTTTTAAAACAAGTTCTTTATTACTTTCATGTTCTAAGAACAGTTGATGTTTTTTAGCCTAGAACTATGCAATAATTACTGCCACTGTAAATATACATGTTACACTGTATCTTAGCTGCTAAGTACTATTTGATTTATAGTTTTAGTAATACGAAGTAATCACTATGTTAAAGATCTTTGTAATTACATACAATTTTTTACCACACTTTCAAGGTTACAGAATAGTAAACTGTATCACTATCTTCATTCTCACAGGGCACAACATAAATTCTTGGATACTAGTTATAATGATAAGTCTGGTATGGCCTGGTGGTTAGTGTTTGACTCTCAATCTGCAGGTTGCGGGTTCAAATGCCAAATAATAAACATGCAGACACTTTCAGTGTGGGGTGGTGTTATAATGTTAAGGTCTATCCCACTTTTCATTGGCAAAAGAGTATCCCAAGAGTTGGTGGTGGTTGGTGTTGACTAACTGTTTTCCTTCTAGCTTTTCACTACTAAATTAGGGATGGTTATTTGGAGAGAAGATAGGCACAGCCCAAGGATCACCAGTGATGCATTAACATATAAGGTACTCCAGTCATATGTGATCTTGGGACTCAACAACAACAACAACAAACACACACTCCATTCTGATCATGTAAGTACAACTACAATTGCATGTAAGGCAGCACACTAAAGTTTGAAAAGTTGATGTATAGATAAGTAGATGCATTTGGAAATTTAAATATAAATGTTGATTTGCAGTTCTCAATTATAGGAATTTTCTCTAGTAGCTTTACCCATGAAAAAGTTTTTTAAAAACCATATTTTTATAATAATAATAAACACATATAAAACTAACTAATCTTGGCTTTGACAGTGCGAGTCAAAACCCTAAAAATATGCAATGGCAGTTTTCAAAGGGATATAAATATACTGCTCATAACATATCCCTATATAAAAATAACTTTTTTTGTGCTTACAATTACTCTTAACTCCTTTGACAAACAGGGAGTTTGTATCTCCAGGAACCAAAGGAAAAATTGGGAAATTTGACAAAATACTTAAAAGTATTTGATTTATTTTATATTTTATTGAAGAACAACCCATATATCACTGAATTTAGTGTGAAAAACTTATAAAAGTCCATATGGCCACTGAGAAGAAAGATGTACTTAGTATGGTGAAGCAAGGGGGTTAATATGCTCACAACGTATCTGACATCACTAACCATTAGGAGGAAAACATCAAAATATTAATTTTGATATAAATATAACAGAAACTTCATGATTCTTCTGACATACATAATCCATTACCTATATACAAAATTAGCTGTATGATACTAAAAAATAAATGTTTTTTTTTATGCCTAGCAGGATGGAGAAAATAAGGGTAATGAAAGCAATATCATCACCATCTGCCTATTTCTAAGAGCTAGTTCTGAAAAAAAAACCACCTTTTGTAACATGTTGTTGTGGTACTTGTAGGAGTAACTTCCTCGACAGCCTTAATTCTTTTCATAGCACCACGATTGTAAACAATTTTAAATTAAATGCTTCTAATTGGTTTTTTATGTTAATTATAACTAATGGCGAACAATGTTTGATTACCAAACATTACCAGAATTGTATCTGGAATAACTTACTTCATTTTATCATTTCTTTAATTGTGTTTTAAATTCACTAGATTTAACTTTGGCAACCATTTGAATTATTTTCCTCTAAATTAACTACTTTTAATTTTGGATTAAGCAAATGTTGCTTTTGATAGATTTTGTATTATTTTTTTTATTTTAATATACAATGGACAATGTGTGCTGTGCCTACCATGTGTATTGAAACTCAGGTTTTAGTATTATAAGCCTGCAGACTTGCTGTTCAGCCACTGGTGAGTTTGATAACTCTAGTTGCAGTTACACACACAGACACAATGCTATAATCTTTAGTATATACATTATCACATACCTGATCTAACTCCGACAAATATTTTACTGGTGTTGACTGAGAAACAATTTTGCCTGCAATTGATGAATCTTTCTTTATCCACTCTGAGCTACTGAAAATATAATAACATTATAAATAAGCACCAATGCCACACTGAAAAATAACAGATTATGATAATTATCTAAGGGCTCCAAACATATAAACTAATAATCAAGATATGACTTGTACCTATTCCTTGTAGGCTCAACTCTAACAATTTACAAACATTTTGAATGATTCTGAAGCTATATCAACTTACTTACAATTAATCAACTGAAAATAAAACATTTTTTAGCATCATTTCCCCACTCCAGCTTTCCATTGCATTTGATACAATTTCTCCACTTTTATTTCTATGACATGTGTTTGCATTCTTCTAATCATAACAAGGCTAGAAAGGTTCTTTTTTCTTTCAAAAATACACACATTCCTTTAATATTTTTGAAGGAGACTTAATATAGTACTCACCCAATACTACTGATGCTGTCAACAGGACTTGACACAGTTCTCCTAGATGTAGCCTGTTGTAAAAGCTCAGCCCATGTCTCGGTAGTAGTGACAGGATACTTGGCCTGGTTGTAAGCAAGTCTTTCTGTCTGACCCTCTTGCTGTGGGGGTCTCATCTTTATACTTGAATGTGAGGTATTAGAAGTGTCACACACCTGAGGTGTCAGAGGTCTGAAAACAAGTGAACTCTCTCCACTCTTGCTGCTACGAAATGACTCGGCCCATGTCTCTGTAGTAGTGACAGGATATTTGGCCTGGTTGTTAGCAAGTCTTTCTGTCTGACCCTCTTGCTGTGGGGGTCTCATCTTTATACTTGAATGTGAGGTATTAGAAGTGACACATAACTGAGGTGTCAGAGGTCTGAAAACCAGTGAACTCTCTCTACCCTTGCTGCTACGATATGACTCAGCCCATGTCACAGTAGTAGTGACAGGATATTTGGCCTGGTTGTAAGCAAGTCTTTCTGTCTGACCCTCTTGCTGTGGGGGTCTCATCTTTATATTTGAATGTGAGGTATTAGAAGTGACACACACCTGAGGTGTTAGAGGTCTGAAAACCATTGAACTTTCTCCACCCTTGCTGCTGCTAAATGATTTACTGGGTGTTATTGGATATTGGGAAGGGGATGAAGCAAAGGAGCTTAGATGTTCTTCTTTTTCACTCAGAGCATGAGTAGTTAGGGTACAGGGTTTATCACAAGTCTTACACACCTGAGGTGTCAGAGGTCTGAAAACCATTGAACTTTCTCCACCCTTGTTGCTGCTAAATGATTTACTGGGTGTTATTGGATATTGGGAAGGGGATGAAGCAAAGGAGCTTAGATGTTCTTTCTTTTACTCAGAGTATGAGTGGTTAGGGTAGAGGAGTTATCACAAGTGACACACACCTGAGGTGTCAGATGTGTAAAAAACCTTGAACTTTCTCCACCCTTGCTGCTAAATGATTTACTGGGTGTTATTGGATATTGGGAAGGTGATGAAGCAAAGGAGCTTGGATGTTCTTCGCTTTCATCCAGTGTTTGAGCACTTTGGCTACAAGAATCTGTCTTACGACCTCTCAGTAAATTGTCAAGTGGAATAGCTAGTTTCAAGTCACCCAAACCTGTTTGTTAGAAATTCAATTTTATTTTAATATTATTCACAGATTGAAAACTGAGATAGTGTGAAAAATTACAAGTTTACACAACATAGTTACTAAATTAACACAATGAATGCAAAGTCTTTAAATTTCTGAAGACTTCCAAGCAGTCAGCTTCTAAATATATTCAAGAATTCCCCTCCCCCAATAGCAGGATGTGATTAAACTTTCTAGTTCCATGCAAGTTTTGTTAATTTTTTGTTGAAGCAAAAGGCTACAGAATGGGCTACCCATGCTTTACCTACTACAGGTATCAAAACCAAACTTATATCATTGTAAACTCTCAGACTTGACATCAAGACACTAAAGGAGGAGGGCTGGGAGGAGATATGTCAACCACATTATATATGTTATATCCCACAGTGATTACAAAGCCCTTTCCCAGTACCAGAACTCTTAAAACTGGATGGGATGTCACCCTTCTAGGCAGAATCATATTTGGTTTATGTCAAATGTTTGTTCTAAGAAAACTAACAAGTACTGTCTTCATATTCAATATGATGCTTATTTCTTATTTAAATTCGTACCACATCTACTTCCCCAGGCTGATAATTGTTGCCATTTTCAAGTTTCAATTCTTTAGCTATCAACTGTTTTGAACTTAGGCTCTGGACAACTATGAACTAACTGGTTGCTTTCTATATAAAGAATAGATTGGAACTATCGTTTGAGACCTTTAAAGAAAGAAAAAAAGGGCTTTGTTTCTTAAATCATATTTGCCAAATTCATAAAATTCACATTTGAACCATGCCACAAACTTGCATTTGGTTTTTCCAACAATCACTCTGTTTTTATTTACACTAATCTAATTACTTTGTATCCATGTAAATCATATTAAATTCCTTCATCACAAAGTGACCTGTGAGCTCAAAGCTTAACAAAATCACAAACAAGCAGTAACTGTTGCAGCAAGAAAAATTTAAAATCATGTTTAATGTAGCTAACCGCAACTGTTTCCCTGTGAGATTCAAACATATGAGAAAATAATAAAGATGTAATCTTACAAGAGAAATAATTACTCACTTTCCATTATTTATTAGTAATTTTCCTACATGTATTATAATATTGGTAGTAATTTCTGAAAAACCATGCTTCTTATACTAAGGAATGAGTACTTTATATTAAAAAAATTTGAATAAGCAAATCAAAATACATGTGAGAGCCACAGCCAATACAAAGTTGTAGAAAAACATCATGTATGAGAACTACATTTCAACATTGTTTGGTGTTTCTTAGATAGTGTGATGCCACCAAAAATTGATCACATTTAAAAAGGGTATGTAACAATCTTTTCCTACACAAGATATTAATAAAGTTATATCACAAAATTATGACCAGATCTACTATTTAAAATTTTGAAGACAAAGATATTCCTTGTACTTAATTGCATTGGAAAACAAAGAAGTATGGATCAACTTGGGGCACCTGGATCATTCAGAAAGAGACCTACAACAAGTCATACCCTAGCCATAGTCAACAAAGTGTATCATCTTGAAAAATTAAGAATCCATGAACACAAAGGTCAATGACAAACTGTCCAAGTGTCCCAGGCAACAGTATAGGACACAATCAAGAGCAATGGTCATCTGGAAAAGCTAAACAAGTAACATGCACACAAGTTGCTTCCAAGAAATATCCACTCAACCATAGGGTACTTAAAGTATTTGGAAAATGAAAGGGACACTGGAGTAAAAAAAGAAGACATCCTTGTATGTCTTATAGAAAAAACCCGAAGGAACAGGGATGTACTTTGGATATTAAAAGCTTTATGACAGAGCCTTTTGCAATGGAAACTGCAATGCAGGGCTATCAGACAGAACATAAACACAAGTGGCAACATAGAAGATGCATGTGGTGAGGCTCTAAAATTGTTTTAGTGTAAAAGAGTTGTTGGTAGTAGTTCAACTTTATCTTTATCTTTAAGGCTTGGATGAATTTGTGAGCTAAAACTAACACTTGAACTTAAATAAAAATTCTATTTAATCATAATCTAGTAAAACATTAGTATAATACTATCATGTAACATTTGGTAGTCTGCAGAATTTTTCATATAATACTGTAAATTTTTTAATGATAATAAATTCAGACATTTATGTTTTAAAGTTAACTACACTGATGGTCAAAAGTATTTTACATAACTCTTAAGACAAAATATTAAACATCATATTAGTTCAAGGATATGTCATGGGTTGAAATGAGTGGTAATATCATTATTAAACCCATACAATCTAAAAAAAAAGTTGTTAGAATTTTTTTTTAATTAACTGCAATAAACTTTTGACTACCAAAACTTGTTAACTTATTACAGACTACTAAAATTAGTTTCAATTGGAAATCAAGAATATTATGAAACATACAACTACTCTCCCACAAACCTAATGAAGACTTCAGAATATAGTCATAAGCTTAAATTTATATTTCTTTTTCATGTCATGTAGGGCCCAGAAAAGGTTGAAGAAAAATCAAAGAGTGAAGATTCATTCACAACCAAAAAAAGTTTAAATGAAATTGAAGGTAACTTTTCTAAATGTATCCAAGTTTCATGAGATGTTGTCTGTTCTTGTTTTGATTTTAAAATGAGTCTATTCAGTGTTCTCCACATATCAGTTATGTTATTCAACCTATAAATCTACTTTAAATCATTTTAACAATGGAAACATACTAAATAATTAAGTTTTAGTGCTAGAAATATATTGAATATAATGTTTTCATGCATTCTTTCAAGACTTTCCACTAACCAGTTATAAAAGTTTTTACAGATGAAAATTTTACAATGCTTTCTGCCTAGTACCACGACTGAATTTATTTTGCGGAATAACTGAATAATATCAAGGTACATGACAGACTTTGTGATAAAGCTTACTTTAGTTCTTATAACAAAGAGTAAACATATGAATGATTGAAAAACAGGGGTAACATACCAGAAAAGATGAATCTAAAGGTCCTGTCTCGAGGGTGGAAATGGATGAGGAGTCTTGAGAATCATATAGAAAAACAGATGAGTATTTTCCTGGACTTAATCTTATATATGAGCTTGAGGGAGTATCAACTTCCAAAATGGTACTTAATTCATGAGGCTCAAGATTTTCCCCAAGAGGTACTCGACTAATTGTGGGAGGAGGGCGATGTCTTTCATAAGCCGCATCCAAGAGGCTAGATCTCGCCAGGGCATCAAGACATTCCAATATTCCAATTTCATGTGATTCTAAACCTTCACCATTAGTTTGAGTACAAACGTCTACATCTCTGGAAAGTGCTGGTGCACTTGTTACAATAATAGAGCCTGTAGTCTCTTTCTGATCCTCTGGAACTGAAGAATCAGTTGAAAGAAATTCTGTTTCTTTTTGAGGTTCCATTTTTTGTGTTTTATCCATCGCACTAGGTTTAGATTCAGATGTCAAAGGTGATATACTTTTCTCAGAGACCTCACAGGTAGTGGATATGGTGGTATCAAATAAAGAAGAATAACCAGTTTCTTGTGAGACACTGAAAGTGTTAACCCTTTCAATGTACAGGTGTTTCACTTTACTCGTCTGTTTGTTGTCTTCTTTAAACACCATGGCTGCATATTCATTTGAATCTGAAGTACAGAGATAAGTGTCAACTGTTTTAGGAATAGTATTCAAATCTCCTCCTCTTTCATCCAATTTTTTATCTGCATTTGCTGTGGGAAATGTACTGTTTTTTGTAGTATCAGTTGAACTAATGCTAATCAAAGGAGGACTGTCAGTTCTTTGTGGAGAAGGAAACCTATGGTGTGTGGGAGCTTCTTTTTCATGATCTGCACTATCGTGAGAATCACCAGTACTCTCTCCAAGGTCTGTTGGAATACTAAAATACTTGGATGCAAGCTTTCGAATATACTCTTTTTTAAGGTTAAGTAAAGAGTCTGGATCATCTAATGCAGGAAATAAGCGTTCTTTATAAACAAATGATTTTCTAGAATCTGTTTGTGCTTTTTTATTTTTGTTTGATTCTGAAAGTCTATTTGAGTCAGATATATCTTTAGAAGAACCAAACGTAACATTTTTCTCAGATGAATCTGACTTACTGTTAATGATGGAAATTCTTTCTTCTGAGTTAGATAACTGTTCTTGAGAATGCATTTTCTTTTCAAAGAAATCATCTGGAATTTCCTTCAGGTTGATATCTGGCATCCCATAACCTTCTGGAAGAGACATATAACTGGTTTCAGAGCTAACAGGTGACTCTGTTTTACCTGAAAACTTTTTTGTTTTTTACGTTTTGTTTTTTGTGTAAGCAGTATTTCATCAGTCAAATCACTTTCACTGCTGGTTGTTGTAGTAATTCTAATAGGAGATATTTTATCATAATTCATCTTATGTAGCTCTTTTTTTGGCTCTTCACTCACACTTTGAAATTTTGGAGTGATTTTTTCAGGAAAATCAGCAGATATTATGCTTGGTTTATTTTTCTCACTGTTCACGGCAGTTTCGACATTAACGGAAGGTACTGGTATGCTGTCACGTTGTTTTGGTGATGATTTTACCTTCTGTTTTACAGTAACAGTCTGATCCTGTAGTCCAGGAGCTTCCGTTTTTGTTGTTTGTTTGTTACTTTCAACATTAACAGGAGGGAAGTGGAGAACTTTGGTTTTAAACTTTGTTGGTTGAGTTCCCTTTACCAAGTCATTGCTCTTCACAATACGGTGGGTAGAATCAACTATAAGTTTATCATCTTCTTTTGTTGTTTTTATGAAACTAAAAAAAAACAAAAAAAACAAAATATGTATATATATATATATATA